AAACACGTTTAGATTGAATGGTAATTTAATAATCAAGTCACAAGAACGTCGAATCTGAATCACTTGAAAAAAACACAGGGGTGCTTAACTTTTTTCCAGGTGTATATTTAAAATTTCCAGACATTTTAGAATTTTTCTATAATTATTATTTCAATACACAAAAAATGGATGAGATTAGTAAAAAAGTATTTAACAATTCTTACACACCCACATACAGATAAAGTATGATGAAAAAAATGGAAGTTTTTTTTACATCTAATTAACAACTATATTTTTACATTTCAGTGGTTAAAACAGGACACTATGATGGAATTTTCATATTCACAGCAGTTTAAATAATAAATCGTACACATAACTAAGGGTGCTGTTAAGTCCTACTTTAAAAACTTGAAGACCTATGTAATCATTTAACTCCTGCTAACAACATAAAGAGAAAAACTAAGTCAAAACTTGGTAAATTTTATGTTACTTTCAAGTATCACCAAAATCACCCACAACATTTTTCCACTGTATGCATAGGGCATATGGAGGTCCTCGGGATTCTTAGAAATGTTTATATAGCAGTCAAGTTTATCATTTTGAATAATGTTTTCTTCTAATATCCTACACACTCATACAGTTATATCATGAATTCTACCAAAAACAATTGGAAATGTTTAGGACTCTGGCAATTTTTTTCTTAAATACACCAGTGTAAGTTTAGATAAAATCATGTCACTTTCTCTCAAGTCTGTAAATAATGATCTTTTGAGATTCAAGTTGATGGTTGCTCTTTCTAATTTCTTCACAACCATATGAAACAATAAGGAGTCCATAAAGACGTAAATGCTGAAACTTGGCGAATTTCTAGATATTTTCACAGATTAACAGTTATTAAACAAATGGCAATTATGATGTAACAACATAATTTGAGATTTTACCCAAAACGAGTATTCTAAAGTATAGCCATTTAAATAAGCATTGATCAATAAGTTAAAATTAGACCTCCATGTAAACTATCTGTAAAATGATTGTTTAACTTTGAGAGCTTCAGTCGCACAACACAAACCACGTTCATTAAGGTGAAAAATTCTTACTGAAATCTAAAATCAATGTTTAGCAAAGTAACTGAAATTTCTTATTTGCTAGAGACACTTTATACTGGATCTATAGGCTAGCAAAAGCTTTTTAATGCTGCAGAATAACAAATAAGATAGATAAACAGATCTAAATTTAAGAGTACCAGAATATAATGGCAACATTTTAAACAACATATATACAAAAGGTTTGATCTCAATACATTTATTTCTACCAAAATGACCAATTACAAGTACTGCAAGATTTAAGTTTGATTCATAAAAGCTACACTGACCAGATCTAAAAACCTGAAAAATGCAAATTTCTATTTTAGGCACAAAATATATTTACTTACAGCAATAAATGTTCCATTTTCTTCCAATTACCATCCTTTATTAAAAAGACTTATGAATGCTTAAGGAAACTATGAAGAGACCTTTTTATTTTGAGCTACCATGTACTTTTTCAGTATTTTAGCTTAAAACACTAGGTTCAAACACACTACACTATTCTTAATGTGAACTTTCTTTTCAACTTTTTTATTTTAAATTCCTTTTATGTCAGTTCAGAAACCTTGAATAATATATACATAAAAATAAGGTAGTAAATTACACACACACACACGTACATATGTATGTTCTTTTACGACTGTCAGTTTTAGCCTATAACACAATTTTTAAAATTCCTAAGAGTAGGTACAAAGTATCTTAAAACAGCCAATGCTTAAAGTGTTAACAGAAAAACAAAGTAAAATAATTCTGTGAATGTAGTAGTCCAAATAAGTATGACCAATACAGGAACTTGCACTAAGAAAAATTAAAGCACAGTTCTTTACAAAGTGGACTTATTTTGTAAAGTTTCAAAACCAAGTTTATATCTCATTCTTTAAGATTATTATCACAGTGGTCTAGGTTAATGTTGCTAATCATAAACTTTACTGAGAAGTTATTTCTACCATATACACACAAGTGGTATATCAAATCTTTTGATAATATTTCTTAAAAATAACTGTTAAACATTGTTAACATAATTGAAGACTTACCATAAAATCTGAAAGAAATGTTTCAATAGTTATCAAAACCTTTTTTTTCTTCTCTTTTTTCATTCACTTTCATCTTCAGATATTCTGAATCACATTATTAAATGACTCTACTAAAATTTCAGGAACAAGAAGATTAATTTTATTAGTTAATCTTGCAGCTTAAGATATAACAGGATATAAATGTGATATCCCTATAGCTTAACAGACATTTAGCACTACTAATGAGTTATATTGAACAGCTGATCCTTTTTACAATATCACTTAAGCTACTACAAAGCAGGAGTGGATAAAAATTACTAACCATGTAATAGGTAGCATATAATGCTGCACAAAGTCAATGAGTTTTTAATATAATAGTAACAAAATGTTTTAACTATCTTCAACAGAAAATTTAACTGGAAAACATTAAATATGAATATGAATATATGTGGTTTAAAAGAAAAGAATTTTTGTTTCCTTTTTCCATTAGTAAAGCATGTAGCAATCTGTGTCATATCTCAGATGATAAAGCAAGATAGTTTCACCAAAACCATAGTGAAGAATTCAGGAGCGAGAAAATGAAACTGATTGATGGTTGTGTTTCTACAACCAGAAAGCTTATTATTCTAAAATTTTCAGTTTACATGTTCATCAAGTAAATTTACTGCACTGCAAATATTTCAGTACTTAAATGTATGCATGCAATTATTTATAATTTTTTACTCATCCACAACAATAGTTCTGTTTTGTACTAGTTTTTTCTTCTTCTACTGTCAGATTCATCACATTTTTACAGCTATACCTGAAGTATAGAAAAACCTTTATACTAATAATATTCTCATGCAATAAATCTTTTTTTTTTGTTCACTTATAAATCCAAAGAAACCTCAGAGATGTTTGAGAAATATTATTCAAAAATAAATTTTATGGTAATTCTTATAAGCTTTCAAGCAAGCCTGTTTGTTTTAAGTGATTTACACAAAACGTTTGCATGAAATTTTACAAACCTACAGCTATAACATATTTTGATTTGATGTGTTTCTAGAATTATGAATTATTCTTGGCTCCAACTAGTCTTCATTATAAAAATCTTCTATCATTTGTAATTCAGAACTCAGCCACATGGTAACTATTCATATCCAGAGAGAGGAGGACATTGAAATTAGAAAATGAAGCTATTTTGACAGTCTTACAATTAGCCTGTACAAGTACAATAACCTTTAACAAACAAAAAGAAGGAGTCAACAGTAAGAGAGAAAAAAAATTATACAAGTACTCATTACTTTCTCACTGACAAAGTTCTTAGTTTAAGTCCAGCTAATGTACAAGGTGTGACTGATAAATCTTTTAAGATCTACATTCAGCATTTGGGCAAACACACTGAGCCATGAATTCATACTCACTAATTAGCCAGTAATATGTTACATATTTTATTAAATATGTTGCTGGCCTGTCATCTACTTTATACATTACTAATATTTTCAAGATGCCATTTCACCGATGATGCAGGAAATGTTGAATAAATTGGTATCCTAACACCCCCTGATGATTGGTGATGATGTCGATGGGCCAGACAACTAAACAAAATGCACACTATGCACACAAAAACAAATGGAATCAAGTTGTTTGAGATAGTTTTTAACTGTTAGGCCATCAGTTTGAGACATACGTATAGGTGCGACATGGTGACTTCAGAGAGGGGGTTTCTGGTGGTTTAGCATTTAAAAAGTCCCAAATAAGAATTGTGTCATCATGAGAACTACTAACAATTTGAAACTCGTCAAACTGAAGTCTGAAGACACGACCAGAATGCTCCTTGAAATAAAAAAAATATAAGTAAATATATGTGGAAATAAAACCAGTCAGCATTAATAAATTAACATATTAAACCACTTGTACAGAAGATCATTAACAGTTTTTGGAAATGATACATTTCACCAAATGATCACACTTTAGCTACTTTTTAACAATGAGCCTACAGCAATGTTTCAGTGAGATCAAGCTTCATCAAAATGCAACCCCATTGTTGTGAAATTAAGAGCTTTTGTCAAATTCAAATCTTTAGTTATTATCTTATTAATGGTACTAGGAGACATGGCCAGCTTTATTGCTATGGCTTTTTCATCTGGAGTGTTTTATTTCATCACCACAGCCTTCACTTAATGGATGAGTGCACTGGCCCATACTGATTTTAGAACCCTTCGTTGTCCTAAGTTCTCTGCTATGCAAGTTCTACTGATCAAGAGAACAATGATTACTTTCTCTTTCAAAATGTTGTTCTTTTTAAGTCTATGTTATTTAGCAACCTTGCTGTACAAATGTTTATCTTCAAAAAGAGAAGTCAAAGACTCCTCTCGTCACCAAACAAGAGTTGGAGGCATTTTACAAGGCTGTTCTGCAGTTGGTTCTGAGTGTGGAATAATACCTATTTATGATCTGATTGTAGTTCTAAATTCCCAAAAATGTTCATGGTAAAGGTAGCTAATCTACATGCATTTCCATAACCTGTAAATGACACTCTGTAACTTTAAGATATTGTAATGCCTTTATTCTTCTTAAGAGTGAAATAAAGAGCATGAAAATTAAAAAAAAATAATTACTTAATATCTCATTTAAAAATAAAACTTTTTTTCATTCTATCTAATTAATTTTGTTAAAGAGTCCTTTAAAAGTAAATTTGATGTTTTACAGCAGTCTAATATGATTTAATTTCTTCAGTGACATCTATGTTGACAAAAATAATGAACTTAGCATATCTTCATAAAACCTTTATAAGAATAATCTACATAAATTCCTCACAGCTTTGTCTTAAATTCAGAAAAAATAATTTTTAGATACTTATTTAAAAAAATGTTTGAAAGTGAAAAATAGAATACATCATTTATCTTTTAAAGATTTGAGTTTCTTGCACTGTTTGAATCCTTGTATATAAATTATTTTGATAACTAATGCTTTCAGCAGAAGATTGTTTAAAAAGAGCACTGATCTGAAAGTCATAAGAGAATATCTAACACAAAAAAATTTATTTTTACAATATGATGTTCATATATTCAAAGAACAATGAGGAAGAGAAATTTTACCACCAATTTTCTGTAAAAATGAGAAATGTTACTCTTAAAAGAACGAATACAAACAAAAATATTCACCACTAATGTTCTAAGGCAGAGAGTTCCTGCTGGTGACCTTGGATCTAAGGCTGCTGCTAAGTCCCACACTTTGATCTTTCTGAATTTATATACATGAAAATAATTTGTCAAAATTACTCAATACATTATTACAGTTTATGTACAATAAATACATTGCTTTGTCTGCTGTAGTTTTATGTTAACTTTTTTGATATAGATTTAAATTACATAAAGAAAATGTAAGAATAAAATCTACACCAGAAATTGTGAACATATGGCACACACAATAAAAGTTGCATGCAAGGCTATTTCTTCTGGTTTACAACAGTGCCACATCTATTCGGAAGAAAGAGCAAAATTGATTTTCATAAAAAGCCATATAATTCTACTCTCAGGAAACTGCAGGTGACATGGCATGTGTTACTAAATCTTTAGTATAGCATTTATATGGAAGTCACAACCAAAATTCCTGATTGAGCTTGGCACTGAAGACTACGAAACTCTTGATGGGTAGACTTCTGACAGCTAGTTGTGGAAAAGTTCACAAACATTTACATATAAAATGTTACCTTTTTTCAAATTTAGAATGAGCCTGATGACTGTCACACATACTGGAGAGGGAGGAAATTAAGATACACCCTTCCCAAACTAAGTTTTTCACACAGAAAATCCTATGTTTAAAGTTTTTGAACAGACCTCAATGATAAGTTACAAATAAAATAAACAAAACTGTTACTATGAAAGACTATTTATTATGATAAATGTAGTATACAAACAAGTTTATCTTCACTATAAACAGAACAGTAAAGTACTATTAAAGCCTAAAAAAACGTAACAAAAAAAAATCATATCTACAATTTTTTCCCTGATTTTTTGCAATCACATTGATTGTTTTTCTTTTGTTAAGAAATTTAATAATAAGGTGCTATTAGTTGCAGTGTTCAGAAATTTGCATCAAACCAATAATAAAAAAAAGGCTTATTTCTATTCATTTTTGTAACTTGGCAACTTACCTTATTTGGTGAAAATAAGAAAAATGTGCATACCAAAACAACTACAACTGACTATTAAAACAACCTACAACAACTAATTAGGGTAATAAAAACTTTGAAGTTCTAATACAGCCAACATTAGTTTTTTTTTAAAAATTAGGACAACATATGAAAAATGAAAAAAGGTTAAAAAAATGAAATGCAATTTTTCTTCCATTTTTAATGGAAGCCATTTGTCAACAGACATTATATGAAACAATCAAAATAATCATTATAAGGATTTTAAAGGTAACTAACTGGATAGATTTTTATTATTATTAAGTGCTAATTACTAAGTAGATTTTATATCTTATGTTTTGGCTGCTAATCTGCTGCCATTAGGGTATTCCTAAGAAGGATTGTGTTTAGTGATGGTAGTAGCCAACATTTAATCATGGGTATTCTTGATAGAAAGACTGATGTGCTATCCACTCATTCAGGGTTTCTACTTTTAGGACTTGCCTTAATCAACTATTTGAATGATTTTAGGTGGATATATAGGTTTTGCTGACAAGGATGAATGAATGTGTTATCAGTCAAAGAGATGCTTCTTCCAATCTCTATCTCTCTGCTATGTGTTGATATGATACATCTGATCATTATTGTTATTTGAATGAAACTGTCTTGGTTCCAGTCAGATATATCTTAAACTAGTTAGAAATGATGTAAGTAGACTAGTTTACGAAGTATTGCAAACTGTTTAGCTATTAAGAAAATAACTAGTTACTGGTTAATTTGTTAATACATTTAAGTTGTATTTTTTCAGTTTAAAGTGCCACCAATTATTAAGCTATATTCTGCATAACATAATTAACTTTGTAAATTTCATACTTAAAAATTTTGCTTGCTACCTAAAGTTGTTACTGTGTTAACAATTGGACCAACCTTGTAACCACCATAAAAATTTAGGAAATATTTCTAAATTACTCTATCTTCTTTCTGAAATGACTGCTAATTGTAACATGAAACCACAGTTGTTTATTCTAAGTAGCTTAAAGCTTGTAAAAGTATACATCTATTTATACTTAATTTTATTTTTCATTGCCTTTTGAACCATGTCTAACTAATAATTCTGCCACACAAGTTGTAAATCACTCATTGAACGTTTAGCTCATGTTCACCAGTTGAATTGCACAGTGCATGGTCTACTTGCAAGTATACCTCGAGAAAATTTATTATAATTATTTTTCTTTATTTTATGTAATCTAACCTAACAAGTTTCTAATTTTTATATTTTAGTTAATTTTATAACAATAAATAAAGAATACACATGAAAAACAAAAAATACAGTACTTACCTGATTCTTCTGTCAACTGTTGCTGAAACTTAACCTAACTTTTTTTACACTAATAGCATTACTGCACTAAATTTTTCATTTAATTAAATAATGCACCAAATGACATAGAATAATAACATGCAAAAAGCAGACAATGCCCTATAACTATCACATTTTTTCTGGCTTTCTAACTATGTGACAAGAGCTGTTAAAAATTCGTCAATGTGTTTCCAGTGGGAATAATTTGAAATGGAAGTAAAGTAGACAATTCTCTGTGCAGCAAGCAACATATCATTTGATAGACTAAAACTTTGGTTTTTCTATTCATTATAAATAATATGTCAGAAAGAACTACAGACAATTTGTAAAAGAGAGGATGTGACAGGTGGGGTCTGATTTTCTAGTTTATGGGTTTGAAACCAAAAAGAATGAAGACTATAAATATTATGCTTTGCCTGAGTAATAGCTACATTATACTGAGTAACTTACTTAAATTCTGCACTTCTTGGAGTGGTGGTAAATAAATTAGAAAAGATGGAAAACAGAAAGCAAACGTCACAGTTCTCATACTAGTAGAGGTTGAGGATTTTTTAAAAATATTTCCTTATAAAAAAAAATTTAAGACCATATAAATTATGGTTTGTCTGAGCAATGACGATTTTATAGAGAGTAATTTACTTTTAATTTCGTACTTTTTTTAGGGTTGGTGAATAAAAGAGGGAAGATGACAGGCTAAGAGAAAATGTTGAACTACTTTATTATCAATGTATACGAATAAATATGGTATCAAAATGTAGTTAATAAATTATCTTTTAATATCATTTAAGTTTTGAGTTCTTTATTTTATAAGGAAATATTTTTAAAAAATCCTCAACCTCTACTAGTATGAGAACTGCGACGTTTGCTTTCTGTTTTCCATCTTTTCTAATTTATTTACCACCACTCCAAGAAGTACAGAATTTAAGTAAGTTACTCAGTATAATGTAGCTATTACTCAGGCAAAGCATAATTTATATGGTCTTAAATTTTTTTTG